TGCACTGGGACAGGATAATTGCAGATCTGAATCATATTTCCACTGCACCATTAATGTTTCACACCACAGGGGCTTCTTTGCAGGCAAACCAGAACTGGAAATCCTGAGTTTGGCTTGCTGTAGTTCAGTATGATGTCTGAATTAACAAACCCTCGATTCAGAGAGTCAGAGCAAGGGGCCGCCGCTCCAAAAAGTCCTTATAAGCTGCGGAAGAGACGAGGAAAGGAGAGGTGAAGGCTGAAGGACTCTGAATTGTGCCTTTGAGAATTTTGAATGGGGGTGATTGGGGGGTACTGGTTCTAGACAGTTAAATTTAAGAGTTAAAGAAAAAGAAAGTAATATAAATGTCTGACTCAGTTTATAATAATCTAAGTGAAGTGAAGATTTGTTGTAACTAAGCTAGTGAAGATCTCCTCTCTTGGGTTTTTAGTTAGTAGTGGGTTCTTTTGCTTTATCCTATATATGTAGTCCCCTTTTTTTCTGTAGTAGTTTAAAAAAACAAACAAACCCACAAACCCTCGATTTGATGTTGGGAGCATCTTGTTGCATGTTGAAAAGCCCAAACCATGGTTTGGGTGCTAAGCTTGATCTGATGTCTGAATTGATTTTTTATAAAAAAAATACCACAGTCTAACCAAAAATTTTCTCTAGATTTCTTCAGCAGCCCCCTCCCCCCACTCCTAGGGTTTTGCTTCAAAGGCTGACTCGCCCTCCAATTTAATACAATATTTGCTGCTAGGCAGGGCTCTTTTTGTAGAAAAAGCCCAGCAGGAACTCATTAGCATATTGGGCCACACCCCTGACAGCACAGCTCATTAGCACATTAGGCCGCACCCCCATGTTACCAGAAGTGTGGTTATCCAGCCACACCCACCTTTTGCTTCTTATTCTGTTTACCTTGTTTGTTGTCAAAACCCAGAGGGTTTTTTTGTAGCAGGAACTCCTTTGAATGTTAGGCCACACACCCCTAATGTAGCCAATCCTAATGAGTTTCTGCTGTTGGGTGTGGCTTATTATGCTAATGAGTTCCTGCTGGGCGTGGCCAACTTGGGAGCCAGCCGGAACTCCGTTCCTGTGCGTTCCTGCCCAAAATAGCCCTGCTGCTAGGGAAAGAGGAGCTTCAAGTAACCAGCTTTTTTCTCCTCCCTTCCTCCCCAATTTCTGACCAGTCTATGCCTCTGTGAGCCTCTACCTGCTTCCGGAGCGGCCTGCTACACTCATCCTGTATGACGACGTGGTACAAATCCTTCTCAGTTCTCCAGGTGAGTCCCGCAGAGTCCGGGTGCCAGGAAATGGAGGACTGGAGACTGGGGATCTCATCTTGGTCCTGCCAGTAGGTGAGACCGTTTGTCGTTGCAGGAGCAAAGAGTCAGCCATGGGCACAGTTCCCACGCAAATCTGCCCGCCTGCCCCGCAACTCAACCTACAGCCAGCTCTCGGCTTCTCTGACTGCCGCCAGCAGTGGGCCAGACATGAGGGGTTTCCCATCCTTTATCGGAATGGAAAGCAACAGCAGTGGTAAGGGGCTTGGGGTCAGAGTGTGGGTGGGAGTGTGGGCTGGTGTTGGTTGAGGAACCAGAGCTGGGTCTGCTGGTGGTCAAGGTAGCAGAATTCAGGAGGAGAATGCCTCAAGAGGTCGATCTGCAGCAGATAAAATTTATTCCAAAAGAAATATATTTATTATACAGTGCATACAGTAATGTAGTTAAAAACATTATACCCGAATATCAGGCTGCATTCAAAGTCATCTAGTTCTCTTTTCAGATAAGCGCTTCACGTACTTAGTAGCGAAAAAGAATCACAGGCCCCGTTCACACGGCGAATTGGCCGTGGGCACAAATAAAATAAGTAAATAAGGATGACATGGGTGTAGATAACATCCCATCGCTTTAAGTCTCAATTAAAGGGACAGGAGGACACATTTCCCCGAGCTCGCTGGCAACCTCAGAACCAAAATGGCGAGGGCCATCTCCCGCAGCCCACGGTGTTCCCATTCTGATTCTTGTCGCCCCGTAGCCGCCAATCCCTGGCTCGAGCTGGTGCCCATCGTCGCTGTCAGCGTCCACCTCTTCACCGGCAATGGGACAGAAGTGCAGCTCTCCGGCCCTGTCCAACTTTCCATCCCGCTGCTGCCTGGCTCGGCTGCCGCTGCGTCTTCCAGTGTGCCCGCCTGGCGCTTTGACCTCAAGAGTGGTGAGTCCTGCATTTTGTTGCTTGCCGTATGGCATAATTGCAAATGCGCAAGGCAGTGGCAGGGGTGGCATTCATTTCTTCAGGGCGAGCGAGGGTCCTTCCATGGAAGCGTGTTGGTTGGTTTTTCGGGAGCCGGACGCACCTCCTCCGCTTGTGGAGCCAAGCCCCCCGCGGTCTCCTTCAGCTGCCTCAGAGCTGGTCACGGTGGTCGGAGTGTCCAACTGGGATCTGGGAGACCCAGGTTCAGATCTCCACTCTGCCACAGGGGCCGGCTGGGTGACCTCGGGCCAGTTACACGCTCTGAGCCTAACCTACTTCACAGGGGCTGTTGTGAGGACAAAGCAGAGACGAGGACGATGATGGAAGCCGCTGTGGGTCCCCACGGGGTTATAAATGAAGTAAATAAATTACTAGGGCGGCTGGGGATAGGGAGGAAAGAGGGGTTGCACCAAGCATAAGCACTTCACATACTTAACAGCGAAAAAGAATCACAGGCCCCGTTCACAAGGCGAATTTGCCGTGGGAGAGCCATGATTGAATGGTGGATTTTCCGGGCACGATCACACCGCAACATCTGACAAGTGGAGTGCACCCGTGGCATACCGTCGAAAATGCACAATAAAAAAATACCTCCTCAGGAAGGAGGCCTTCTCCTCTAACGGAAGCCTGCTGCAGAGGGACTCGTGCTCCCAGGAGAGGTTCTTGATAATGGCGAGAGCCTTTCGAGTCGATTTCTGGTTCCGCTGTTGACACTCCCCTCCCATCAGCCATTCCAGTTTTGGGATGGCCTGTCAGACACCCCCAATCTAGTTGAAAGAGATGGGAGCATTCATTTATTTACTTTTAAGGTCCCTATAGTACTGTTGTCTTGTATTCGCCCGTGCATAAAGGGAATATTCTGTCAAAGCCTCTGTTACTTGTCCACATTGGGTTAATAAAGAGCCATCAGCCTGTGTGTCAACCTGGGTGCGACAGGGTACAAAGCGTGGGGGTGTCCTTTTCATTAAGGGATGTGCTGGAGCCGTGGCCCAGAATCCGTTTTTAATAAGCTGTTATAAATCCCTCATATAGACTTGATAAATACCAAATTACCAAAACAAGACCATATGCATTTCAGCCTCTTAGGCCTTCTTCAGTGGTCAGTAATACATAACATCATTTCTAGAAACACATCCGGAAAATACATATTGGCTGCGGGCACACGGGCAGGAAAATGCGGGGGGGGGGGGGAGGGGGGGGGAGGGGCTAAATAACGACCTACTGTGGAGGTCCTGTGGAGGTCCCGTGGTAGGGGGGAGGTGCCGATCACTCCACAGTCCTGCGGCGCGGCAAAGAAGCGGGGCGCGGGGCAAACGGGGTTGTTGGGGTTTTTTAAAACTCAAATGTGCACATGCTCCCTTGGGTGCTTGTGCGCATCCGTGGAGACTTTGGGGGAAAAAAAACCTTTTTGCGAGGGGACATGGGCGGGCACCGGAACTACCACCGGAAACGTGATCAGACGCCCGCCCTTGCCCCGCGGTTTCTGGAAACTAGTACCTCCGAGGTACTAGTTTTTTACCGCGCATCTTCGGCAGGAAGCCTTGGGTTCGCCACGGGAGCTCAACGCTTCCCAGATATGGCGGTGAGATTGCGCCCGGAAAATCCACCTATCTTCTGTCCCTCTAGCGTGCCTAATGCTCCGTGTGACCGCAGCCATTATATATTTTAACCCTGACTCTGTATGAGGGATTTCTAATAGCTTATTAAAACTGATTCTGTATTACTTTTAATGCAGTCCGATATTCAGGCCTTATGTTTTTTTACTACATTACTGTATGCACTATATAATAACTATATTTCTTTTGGAATAAATTTTATCGGCTGTAGGTCGACCTTTGAGGCCAACTTTTTCACTGGACGCCCACCACCTGGACCAAAGGCCTGGTGGAACAGCTGCACTTTACAGGCCCTGCAGAATGGCAGTGGGTCCCAGAGGGCCCTGATCTCACACGGGAGCACATTCCACCAGACTGGATCCAGGGCAGAAAAAGCCCCGGCCCCGGCTTAGCAGATGTCCCTTGGGCTGGGGACAACCAGCAGGTCTCGGTTGGCAGAGCGCAAGGCTCTCCGGGGCACATATGGGGAGAGGCAGTCTAGTTGGTGCTGTTTGACCTTCATGGCGGGGAGGGGTGCCACTTGGATTTCTTTGCCTTGGGCACCAAGTAAGGTGTTCTTTCCCTTAAATAGAGGCTTAATGTGAAAATGGGCAGCTCTCTCGGTACGACCCCCTCACCTCCTTAGAGCATCACTGCGGGGCCGCCTGTGGGTGCCTGGCCTGTGAATTGCCCGCTGGTCAACCACCAGGGCAAGGCATTTTTAGCGGTTGCCCCTTCTCTCTGGAATAAGCCCTCTGGGGAAGTTTCTCCCAGCAGTCCGTAGGGCATGTCAGGCTGCCCTATTTCATGCAGCCTTTGGTAACCGCTATGAACTGGGGAGCTGGCCATTTGTTTTAATTTCTCTGAGTAATTTGTCGTCAAATGGATGCTGCTTTCGTTGATTTTGTTGCTCTGTTTATTGCATTTATTTGTGTCTGTTGTGTTTTAAGTGTTGCCAGCTTTTCCCCAGTCCCCTGTAAGGAGAGGGTGCTGGGCACAAATAAAACAAGTAAATAAGGATGACATGGCTGTAGATAACATCACATCGCTTTAAGTCTCAATTAAAGGGACAGGAGGACACATTTCCCCGAGCTCGCTGGCAACCTCGGAACCAAAATGGCGAGGGCCATCTCCCGCGGCCCAAGGTGTTCCCATTCTGATTCTTGTCGCCCCGTAGCCGGCAACCCCTGGCTAGAGCTGGTGCCCATCGTCGCTGTCAGCGTCCACCTCTTCACCGGCAATGGGACAGAAGTGCAGCTCTCCGGCCCTGTCCAACTTTCCATCCCGCTGCTGCCTGGCTCGGCTGCCGCTGCGTCTTCCAGTGTGCCCGCCTGGCGCTTTGACCTCAAGAGTGGTGAGTCCTGCATTTTGTTGCTTGTCATACGGCATAATTGCAAATGCGCAAGGCAGAGGCAGGGGTGGCATCAGGGCTTCTTTTGTAAAAAAAAGCCCAGCAGGAACTCATTAGCATAATAGGCCACACCCAACAGCAGAAACTCATTAGTATATTAGGCCAGACCCCTGACAGCACAGCTCAATAGCATACTAGGCCTCACACCCCCATGTTATCAGAAGTGTGGTCATCCAGCCACACCCACCTTTTGCTTCTTATTCTGTTTACCTTATTTGTTGTCAAAACCCAGGGCCTTTTTTTGTAGCAGGAACTCCTTTGCATGTTAGGCCACACAACCCTAATGTAGCCAATCCGAATGAGTTCC